GAGGTTGCTCACGGTCAGTGGGCCCTCAAAACCCCAAACCAACCCATGGCCACCTAGGCGATTCCCACTCATAGCAAGTGACACTACCCGGGGTTTTTATGGGCGCATGGGGCTGGGAGGTTTGCCAAGCTGACTGTAGCTAGGTCGCTGCCCAGTGTCCAAGCCACAGGGCCTCCAGGGACCTTGTCCCAGGATCCCTGCTCAGCTGCTGCTGTCCGCACTGCCCAACACTCAGTCTCCGCCCTTTCCCTGGGGGTCAGCTCGTCCCCAGCACTCCCTCCCCCCACGCACCAACGGCTCGGAGGAAGTCATTGTACTGCGCGAAGGTCATGAGGGGCTCTGGTAGTTCTCGAAGCCACTGCTTCAGGACCCCCGTGATGGCGTGGATCTGGTAGTTCTCCAGCTTGACCACGGTGGGGTCTGCAGGGGCAGGGGGCGGGACTACATGAAGGCAGTGACCATCCTCAGCCACCCACCAGCCCCTCCCGGTCGCCACGCCCAGCGGCTTCAGCCCCAGCGTGGCTGGGGTTGCTTACCTGCCTGCAGCGCCTTCCTCAGCTCCCGCTGGCGGTTGGCGGCGCCGGACTTTCGGTAGAGGCCTTCAGTGTACAGGCCATGCATCTCCACATGTTCTAGAAGCTTCTCCAGCACGACAGGGACTGAGGCCTTGTCGCTGGTCAGGCTGTCCACGCACACACCAAAGTGACCTGGCTCGGCGCCTGGCTCCACCTGCAGCATGGTCCAAGGGGTACCCAGGGGTGTCCTCCGCAGCCCACAGCAGCCACCTCTACATCCCACCCTTCCTGCCTCACTGTGGCTGCCCCTTCCTGCAAGAGCTCCTGGAGGTGGTGGGCACTTCCGGGGGAGGGGGCACCTGGTCCCACTCAGTGATCCACCCACTCTGTGTGCTCAATCAGGGCTCTCCTGACCCCAGGGTTCCCCAGGCAGGGTCCAAGATGTGCCTGTGTGTGCATGTGGGGCAGACAGATGGGAGCCCAGAAGGTGGCAACCACAGAGGCCTCCGGACCGGGGACCTGGGCTCCAGCTCACACGGCCCTTCTGGGAACACTCCTCTCTGGTGCCCTGGGTAGAATGAGCCTCCTTCTGGAAGGTTCTGTGTCTGCGTCCCTCACCTTCCGTCCGCACGTGTAGGAGCAGTAGGTCTGGATCTTGTGCACACACTTCTTGTGGCAGGTCATTTTGCACACTAGGAAGACAGCGTGCGGGTCACCACAGGGGCGTGTGTGTGTGTGTGTGTGTGTGTGTGTGTGTGGGCAAGGGCAGAGGTTGGGCAGACACTGTGGGGCCAGAGGGGTGGCTCAAGGGTGGGGGAGTACTGTGGTCCCTCAGGAGCACTTAGTGGGGTGTTGGGGTGCATACTGAGGGGCGGGCAGGGGTTGGTGATGCAGTGGTTGAAGGTGCACAGCATGGGGGGTGGGGATGTAGCACACAGTGGGGGGCATACAGTTAAGGTGGAGGTGCTTCGTGCCAGTGTGTGCTGCACAGTGGGTGGGGGGAGGGGCCGGGGGGCAAGGAGCGCTCACCACTGCACAGCAGGGCCTTATCCATGAGCCAGATGTAGGAGAGGCAGTGCTCGCACGACTGGGGGATGCTGACCTGGTAGCTGGCGAACACGTGCCCATTGTGCTGCTGCACCTGGGCCGGGAGCACAGGGAGGGGCTGAGCAGGGTCTGCCTGCCACTCCCTCTGGGCAGCCCCCACCCCCCCAGCTTGTGGCCCCCAGACCAAGCATTTGGGACTCTGGGGCTCAGGCCGCCTGGGGCAGACACACTCACAGCACGCTCCTGTTTCCGCTTCTTCTTCTGAGACTTGCTCTGCTGGGGGTCGGGGAGGGCCAGGGAAGCAGAGAGGCTTAGCCACGGTGCCGGAGGGACAGCAGTGTCCCAACATGCCCCTCCAGAGATCTCAACCCCCAGTCCCCCCACCCTGGGAGCGCAGCCCCGGCAGGAGCTGGTACCTTGGGGGCCTCGAAGTCGCTCTTGGAGTGCCCGCGGGTGAACTCGTCCAGCAGGGACTGGAAGAGGTTGAGCACCAGGTTGGTGTCCTTCTCACCGCGCTCGGCCGCCAGGTTGCTCACCACGATCTGGTAGTTCTCCATCAGGTCCTTGTAACCCACGTGGATCTTCCCGTTCTGGAAGGAGCCGGCACGTGGGTGCGAGCCCCTCGCTCGGGGGTGGGGTGGGGACCAGGGCTGCGCGGGGTCAGGCCACTCACCGGCACGGAGTACATGGTTTTGAGGTTGCTGCGGAACTTCTCAGTGGCCTCGATGAACAAGCTCTCGATGGCGGTCTTCTGGGAGCGCAGGTCATTGATCTGAGGAGAGGGGCAGGCGGGTCGCACACCATCGCTTGCTCAAGGGGACCCTGGCAAGCTTTGGCCTCACCGGGACAAAAGTCTAGCCCCTCTGGCCTGCCAGGTGCACTGGTGCCGAGGCTGTAAATCCAGGATTTCAACTACTGATGGACTCCCTGAGAGGTGCAGATGGCTGCCCCCTGGGCGGCTGGGGGTGAGTCCACTGGAAGGGGCCTCAGAAGAAAGGCCTGGCCATCCGCTCCGCACTGAGAACCCATGTCAGAATTCGCTCAGATGCTGTGGCTTCCGTTTCAGGTTACCGACTTTGTTGGGCGGGTCGGCCATCTGAACCAGGGGGCGCCAGAAAGATTGGGGAGAATGCCAGCGCCTTTTAATTCTATTTTCCCACGATCGGTCAGTCCTCCTTACTGAAAGGGCTGTTTAAGTTCTTTGCCCATTTTCTGGGGGGGTGAGGGGAGAGTGAGATGGGGTAGGGTTACTTGTCTTTCTTTAAATGGTCTGGATGTTAAATCTTTATTGGATGTGTGGAGTCCCTGGGGTTCAGTGCTTGGTTGTTAGCTGGAAGGCTGTGGCCTGGGCCAGCCAGGGGTACCCAGCAGGGGAAGAAAGGCGATCCGCCTTTGAAAACCCTGCCCTTGCCAACCTGTGGAGTCCAGCTCTACTCCGACACGGATGGGTTGCTGTGATGTGGCGGCACGTGGTAACCACGGACATTGTGTCCTTGATCTCTCACTGGGAGTGGGGACCGTGCTGTGCACTGTGGGCTGAGCTGCAGGCTGGTCTCCACGGGCTTGATGCGAGGAGCACTGACTCTCTAAGGGTCACGACAACCAAGACACCCCCGGTGCTGCTCAGTATCCCTGCGGGCAGAATCGCCGTGTGGAGGCCCACACCAGGGACCAGACTACTATCAAACAGGCTGTCTGCAGGGCCCCTGACCTGGAGCCTCCACGGTGAGCCCTCGCCCAGCGGGGCACCTTTTGCAGTGCTCTACTGCCTGCACAGGCCGACCAGAGAGCCTTCCTCCAGCCGGACGGGGCCAGCCCTGAATGCTGGCCACCATTGCTTAAGTGGACCGTACTTGCTATGGGATTGTGCCACTGCCAAGATGTGTTCCCGCTCTGACCCAGTACGTGTGAACATGGGCTTGTTTAGAAATGGGGTCTTTGAAGATGGAACGCTGTGGGTTAGGCTCACGGGGGGGCATCTTGGGAGGAGGATTTCTGATTCTCAAAACTCGCTGCTATTGAGTTAGTGCCGACTTACGACGACCCACTGTTTATGGGAGCAGAAAGCCCAGTCTTTCTCCAGAAGAGCGGGCGGTGGTTTCGAATTGCTGACTGCGTGGATCTTGGCCCAACACCTAACAGGAGGCAGCAGCAGGGCAAACCCCCCTTCTAAGTAGGGTCTTATACAAGGGGAAGCTTACTCAGGATCACAGGGTGAAGCTCACGCTGGAAGCTCAGGATGGCTGGGGGGCTTACAGAAGCTGGGGGAGGAAAGCGTCTCCTCCCCTAGAGTCTGGCAGAGAAAGCAGGGTGCAGCACACCCTGCTGACATCCGCTATCCCTAAGTGCTGCCTGCAGAACTGAGCGGCCTCTACAGCCACCTGCTGGTGGAACCTGGTATAGCAGCTCGAGGTGACCCAGGAGAATGCCCACTGACATTTTGTAAAGTAGGAAAACTCACATGGGGGAAGGGGACCTGGGACCTACATGATTTCTCAGGAACCCGGCTCAGGTTTTTCCAACCAAGTGCCTGCGCCAGTTGCCCTGGAGCCGACTCCGGGCCACACACAGTCAGCGCCATTCGTGCCAGCGCTCCCCGATTGGTTTAGAGAGGCAGGTGGCCAGGCCTTTCTGCTGCAGTACTTCACAGTGGCTGAGAATGGTCCACCGTTCAGCTGGTGAGCAGCTGCGTGTATTAGCCCGGGCTGCCCAAAGCGGCTCGTGCCTGGCTTCAGACGCAGCGCCGGGCACCCGATGGGGGGGTAGGGGAGGGTCTGCTCTGGGCAGGTGCTGGATCTGCCGGTGGCCTGCGGCCCCACCTTGTTGAGCAGGAACTCATCCAGGTACTTGAGCTCATTGGCGTTGGTGATCTTGCGGAACACCGACTCCCGCCACTTCTCCGACACCGTGATCTTGCCGATCTTAAGGTTCCGGTTCTTCTTGCCTTTGCCCCCAGGCTCTTTGGGGGCCTTCTCAGCTGCCGGGTGGCGGTGCTGTTGACTGGAGGGGGCTGTGGGAGGGAGGCCCACAGGTGAGGGTGGGATCCGGGTGAGGGCACGGTGGAGCAAAGGGGTTAACAAAGTCCAGAGACACGACCCCCCACCCCTGGAGCCCCTCTGTGCCCTCCGCCCAGGGTCAGTGTCCATGGGGTCGCTGGCCCGAGGCAGCAGGTGCCTGACCTTCTGGATTCTTCTTCGCCGTGGTGGCTTCCAGGCCAGCTGTGCTCTCTGCGTCCTCCAGGCCCTCCAGACTGTACTTCTTGTCCCTGTTCTTATGCTGGAAGAGCCTCTTGAAGGCGGACCTGCAGGAGGAGGGGGCAGGGACGTGGGGTGGAGGCCTGGCTGCCCCGACCAGAGCACTCACGGCGACCCTAGAGGGCAGGTTAGAACGGCCCCTGTGGGTTTCCGAGGCTGTCGCTATGGGAGCGGAAAGCTCCGTCTTTCTCCCGAGGCGTGGCTGGCGACCCCAGGCACACTGGGATGAAATGCTGCCTGGTGCTGCAGGAACCCCATGGACGGTCACCTGGCCTTCCTGCCTAGTCTGGAATCAGCTGAAACCCGCTCAGCATCCTGGCCACACTCACTCTTCCACGGACAGATGGGGGCTGGCTGCGCATGAGGTGAGCTGGCCAGGAGTGGACGCTGGGGCCCGTCTGGAAGGAGAATTCCACTGTGTACGCACCACACGCACACGAACGCTCCATCTCAAACCATGCGAGTGTCCAAGGCTGTGACTCTACAGGAGCGGCCTGCCTCGTCTTTCTCCCGTGGGTCAGCTGGTAGGTTGAATCAGTGACCTTTTGGCTGGCAGCCTTTGCCACAGGGCTCTTCTGAAGGCTGACAGTTCTAAAAGTCAGAAAGCTGCCTCACTAAGGAGAGAGGGAGCTTTCACTGATGGGATGGGAGGCTGCTCAAAGCAGGTTTGGAGGGGCACCCAGGAGTGATCTGAAAAGACCGGTGCAGAAGTTCAAGCGGGACCCCTCGTTCATATAAAAATACTAGAACAATAGAGACCCCGCCCTCCCACATGTCTACGCAGGGACACGACACGATCGGGCAATGCAGAGGGAAGACGGTAGGAGAATGAGAGCCGCTGTGGCGTTGGCCCAGAACAGGGACACCAAGGAAACTGAAGACATCGGTCCAGAGGGCTAACGGCCCATGCGAGCCACCGCTGGCCATCTCAGAGACCAGGAGAACGAGACGGTGCCCCACAGCTGGTCTGGGCCACAGGAGACAGATCAGAATGGAGACCAATGTGGAACAGGGCCCAAATCCTTCACAAATCTCCACGGCGTGGCTGGGCTGAGACCAGCAGACCCCTGAGATGGCTGTCCTGAGTAACTGTAAATTCGGACCCAGAACTATCCCCAAGGTCACTTTTCCCTGAATGAACTGACGGCCCACAAAGTGAAGCATGTGACCCACGGGAGCAGTGTTCCTTCACAGACCAGCTCTGAGACCAAAAGGCCAAGGAATCTTCACCAGGAAGCGCTTACGTGGGGAGGGGGTGGGTGGGAGAGGGAGACTAGAGTCCCGGACGTGAAACTACCAGATCCCAGTGAGAGAATGTTGACCCGTGCGAATCACGGGGCTGTAACTTGTCCCACGGCAGCACCATCTGTGCGCGGACTAGTGCGCATGGCACAGGGCTGCCGGCAGACCCAACAATCCCGTCCCAGGAGACAGACGACAGAACGCTCCCCAGAAGCCAGGCTGGGGAGAGGCCTTCCCGGTTTCAGGGCAGAGCAAGTGCCCTGCAGGGGCAGGTCAGGAACCACGAGGTCAGTGAGAGGGACAGGGCGGGGCCACAGAGCGATGATGGACTGGGGGGATGGGCGGTTCCTTCTTTCCATCATCGCATTTGGCCCAGAATCGGCTCGGGAACCACCAACCATGTGCCAACTGTGTGCACGCAGAGGGCTGACTGTGTGCATGAGGGCTGACTGTGTGCACGACCTGGGATTTGCCCTTTTTAGTGTGAAGGATTAAAGACAGCCGGAGTGCTTAGAAGCGAGGCTTGTCTCATGTACTCTGGACAAGTTGTCAGGAGAGACCAGTCCCTGGAGGAGGGCAGTGAGGATGGTGAGGAGGAGGAGGGCCCTCAACGACATGGACGGACACCGTGGCTGCAACAGTGGGAGGACGGTGCCTGGTTCTGTCCTGTTGTGCCAGGGTCACGATGGGTCAGAAGTGATTCAATGACACCTAACAACGTAACAACAACAAGCTCTCTCATGGTCCTCACCCCTGTTCCTGTGAACGTGGCCCTGTTTGGAAACAGGCTTTTCTTTGTGATGGGAATAAGATCATGCTGTGTTTCATAAACAGGGAAAACACACACACACACACACACACACACACACACACACAACCCCACCCGATGCAACATGAGGACCCATCTGTATCACCAAGGGTTCCTAGCTGTGGTAGCTACATAACCTGGTGTCAACTTTAGACTTAAGAGTGAAGGGGTGGAGTTTAGCCTGTCAAACAGGTCGCAGCTTGATGACCTCATTTTGGAGGTGCTACGGAGATAAACAGCTTGCTGGAGGCAGGACACACAGAAACTCCCTGACAGACAT